GGTGCTATTTGGTGCTGAAATTTGCCGGTTAATCTCTGCAGACTACGTTCAAGGGCCGGGTGTTTATGACCCACGCCACAAAGGCTATTTACAAGCTGCTGCTCTCGGATTATGTCAAAGTCAGCAAAGTATCCGTGGAGGATATGCTGTATGATGAGAATGACATTGCTCGCTCCATGGATAAAATTGAGGTATGTTACATCCTATTACTGTACCTTTTAGCTTGTTTGGCTTTGCACTGCAGGAAACAGAGTGTTGCTTAAATACACGCATATTCGATACTGGTGTTTGGCATATTGATTTTAGATAGCAAACAATCCTTATAACATGTAATGCTTATGATGCGCTAATCAGTGAAACATACAATACCTGCTAATTTCCTCCCCTAAGCATCATCTGTTTTTCTTCTTTAAAGAAAATGCAGAATTCTGCTCATCATGTTTGAAAGTTTTTTTTTTCAGGAATGCACATTTTTATTAATCTGAAAGTCGTCTTGTGCAGGTTATAGATTTCCACCAGACATTGGAAGTTAACGGGATACGCTTCTGGTGCTACACTGCTGGCCATGTACTTGGTGCCGCCATGTTCATGGTGGATATTGCTGGCGTGCGCATTCTTTACACTGGTGACTACTCCCGTGAAGAAGACCGCCACCTACGAGCGGCTGAGCTCCCACAGTTCTCCCCAGACATTTGCATTATTGAGTCGACCTATGGTGTACAGCAACATCAACCCCGGATTGTTCGTGAGAAGCGCTTTACTGAGGTCATTCACAATACTGTTTCACAGGGGGGTCGTGTTCTTATCCCGGCATTTGCACTTGGCAGAGCACAAGAACTGTTACTTATCCTCGATGAGTATTGGTCCAAACACCCAGAGCTCCATAAGATTCCTATCTATTACGCTTCCCCTCTTGCCAAGAGGTGCATGGCTGTCTACCAGACATACATAAACTCCATGAATGAAAGGATACGGAACCAGTTTGCACAATCCAATCCCTTCCATTTCAAGCACATCGAGTCCTTGAATAGCATTGATAATTTTCATGATGTGGGTCCTTCAGTGGTGATGGCTAGTCCAGGTGGTCTTCAGAGTGGTCTCTCTAGGCAGCTTTTTGATAAGTGGTGCACAGATAAGAAGAATGCCTGTGTTATTCCAGGTTATGTTGTGGAGGGAACCCTTGCAAAGACCATTATTAACGAGCCAAGAGAAGTGACACTAGCTAATGGGCTCACTGCTCCTCTTCATATGTCGGTCCACTATATCTCTTTTTCAGCTCACGCAGATTTCCCTCAGACAAGCAATTTTTTGGATGAACTTCGGCCACCAAATATTATTCTTGTGCATGGAGAAGCAAATGAAATGTCAAGGCTTAAACAGAAACTTATTACTCAGTTTGATGGTACAAATACGAAAATTGTGTCTCCCAAGAATTGCCAATCAGTAGAGATGTATTTCACTTCTGAGAAAATGGCCAAGACTATTGGTAGGCTGGCAGAAAAAGTACCAGAAGGTGGAGAGTCTTCCGGTGGCTTACTTGTCAAGAAGGGATTCACGTATCAGATTATGGCGCCTGAAGATCTCCGTGTCTTCACACAGTTATCAACAGCTAACATCATTCAGCGCATTGCAGTCCCTTATTCTGGTTCTTTTGAAGTCATAAAGTACAGACTGAAGCAAATATATGAGAGCGTGGAGTCAGCAACAGAAGAATCTGATGTTCCAGCATTGATTGTGCATGAAAGAGTGACAGTTCGTCTAGATTCAGAAAGTTATGTTACACTGCAGTGGTCATCTGATCCCATCAGTGACATGGTGTCTGATTCTGTGGTGGCTATGATCTTGAACATTGATCGTGAAGGTCCAAAAGTTGTTCCGGTTGAAGAAGCAGTGAAGACCAAAGAAGAGACGGAAAAGGTTGCTCAAAAGGTGGTATATGCTCTGATGGCGTCACTTTTTGGTGATGTTAAAGTTGCAGAGGAAGGGAAATTTGTCATATCTGTAGATGGAAATGTGGCGCACTTGGATGGGATGAGTGGCGATGTTGAATGTGAAAATGCTACACTGAAGGAACGGATCAAGACTGCATTCCGTCGCATACAGAGCGCCGTGAGACCAATCCCACTTTCAGCCTCTTGATCGGAGGGCAATGTTTAAACTTGCTTGACATTTCCCAGTTTTTCAAAGTAAGATTATCTGTCTGGACTAGGATAGCAGTTCTTTTTCGAAAAGAATGCCCAATTGCATTGTACTGCAAGCTACTCAAGAGGATCGTTGCTCTGGGATTGGCACTGAAACGCCAGTTGTAACATTGTAACATGAACTAACTCATTTTCATTAAAGTTCGACTTATTTGTCCTGTTTCCTTTTCATACCCAAATTTGAAATACTTCGGTATGGTGTTCCAAGTTCTGTTTGGACATGTTTCATCAATCTTCTGAAGCGGTTGGTGGTTGTTAGAAATGTGGCCTCGGGTATATCACCAAGGCTGGCTTGCAACAGATGGGGGTACCATAAGGTTTCGTACTGTAAATTTTTATGCAGATGAGAATACATATAAAAAAAATCAACCTATCTTCTTTTCATCTTATTTTTTTCGGGAGCACTAGCGCCCGGACGTCCGGCGCCCGCAGCGCGTCCGGACGTATCTCCTAGTCCTAGCCAATTGAACTGTGGGCTGGCGTCGTGGCCCACCAACAGGACCATCTCAGCATCCCTTGTAAAATAGAAAAATAAAGGGATCTGAAGTGCTACATGCCCGCCTAACGGAAGGAGAAAGTGTGTGTTCGCGTCCACATAGCAATCCCCTGGCGTGTACCATCCGTCGGCCCTCGCTGCGCCCCCTCTGCAGTCTGAGAAGAATGCAAGGCAGCAGAAGGCGAGGAGGAGACACCAAGGCGAGGCAGTAGAAAGCGAGGAGGGAGATGCAACATCCGATCTACTTTTGAAACATCTAGATACAACACTCGCAACATATGTCTGAAGACAGATGAAACATTAAAAACATGCGTCTGAAACACTTGCAAAAACACTTGAAAACAATTGCAACACATACACAATATCCATATAAAACGCTTGCAACATATGTGTAAAACATATGCAACATCCACATAAACACACACTTGCAATATATGTCTGAAAAACAAATGAAACATTGGGAACAAAAGTTTGCAACATACGTGTACAACCATTGCAGATATGCAACATCCCAATCTACTTTTGCAACATCCATATGAAACCCTTGCAACATATATCTAAGACATATGAAACACTTGAAACATACGCCGGCAACATGCGCTTTTAGCGCAAGCGTAATGTCACCTTGCTGCTTGGACGAATGGAGCTCATCGTTGTGGAGCTCGACACTGGCGCATAGCTCGATTCCATGGAGTGCACAGAGATTGCCGATGCGGAGCTCGTCGCCGGCACGGACCTCGGCAGTTGCCGTGGCAGGTGGATGGAGCGCAGCCGGGCCGGGAGGCGTGAGTGCGAGGGGAGGGGGGGCGTGGCTCGGGCGGGGGTGTCGCCGACGAGCAGCGCGGCAGAGCAGGGGTGCATAGCACATAGTGGCGCGAGCAACGCCGGCGTGTGGATGAGGATGAGCCACGACGTCCGGACTGGAAGTCACGCGAGCGACTTAGGCGAGTGGATGAGGATGAGCCACGTCCAAACGAGAAGTCACGGGACGGACGGCAGAGCCATATCATTATCGGTTTTTTTATCAGAGGTAGTAATTATCACCAAGGAAAAGCATCTTATTTTTATGACCAGAGGTTGTAACTGTAATTATCAGCGAGGAAGGCTTAATGACCAGAGGTTGAATATGGTCTCGCTTTTCTTTCTTCTGCTGTATAAGCTATGACCTGAGGTCCTGAGTACTATGAGGTCCATTTTTTCAGATGAATATTTTCTGCTACTGTCACTGCAGTCCAATATTTTTTTCAGACAATATTTTCTTTCTATCCATTCTAAATTCTAAGACCGTTTTGACTTTTTTAAATACATTGATGTTACTATCTATCTAGACATAGTGTATGCCTAAGTGCACACTAAAATATATATGCATCTAGAAAACCAAAATGTCTTGTAATTCGGAACTGCTTGCCGCACCTGCACTTTGTGTTCCCCCGCATACCAGCATCCCGCGCCGCCCAACTGCGCATGTGGAGTCCCTGCTCGCGCCCCTCCACTTCTCACGCGCATGCACGTGGCCAGCAGCTGCAACATGACTATAGCAGGTGGCTACGCAAGCATTCGGAAGAGAGGGAGGGGGTGATGGATGCCCAACCGGCGTCGGGAGGAGGAGGAGGAGACACCGAGACGAAGGTGAGGCAGTAGAAAAGTGAAGAAAGAGATGCAACGCCCGATCTACTTTTGAAACGTCCGGATGAGAAACTAACATATGTATGAAGGCAGATGAAACACATGAAACATGCATCTGAAACACTAGCTGCAACATCAGATCTACTTTTGAAACATCCAGATAAAACACTTGCAACATACGTATAAACAGATGAAACACTCGAAACATGCATATGAAACACTTGCAAAACACTTGAAAACACTTCTTATGTAGAAAAACATATGCAACATACAGATGAAACACTTGCAAACATATGTCTGGGAAACAAGATGAAGCATTTGGAACATACACTTGAAATGCGTGTATAGACTTGAAACATACTCTTGCAACATTGGCTTTGCTTGAACGAATGGAGGCACGCCAGCGCAGAGGTCGATGGCGGCACGGACAACTCGTCGGCGGGCGCGGCGTCACACGAATCTCGTCCCCGTCGCGTGCTTACTGGAGCATCCGTCGTGGAGGCTTGCCGGCTCGGTGAAGGCGACCACGGCTCGCCAGCTCGGTGGAGGCGGTTGCGGAGAGCGGGCTGGCGTGGTGAGCAGGCAGCGCGGTGGAGGCGGGCAGGACGATCCTGAGCCTGGTAGGGAATGTGGCGCGAAGGAGGCAGCGCGGAGGAGGCCGCAGGGGATGATGGGCCATGGCGCTGCGGGGGACCGGCGGTGGCGAGACGGAGTCGGGTGGGCGGATAGGCAAGGCGACGTAGGGAGGAAACGGTGTAGCAAGCATCAGGACGCGCGGACAGGACGAGCAGATAGGGTCGCTGGGCAAACGGACAGCACGAGCGGATAGGGTCGCTGGGTTTGGACTTATGGTTATCGTTGAGCGGATAGGGTCTTCAGAGTGGTCTCTCTAGGCAGCTTTTCGATAAGTGGTGCACAGATAAGAAGAATGTGTGTGCTATTCCAGGTTATGTTGTGGAGGGGACCCTTGCAAAGACCATTATCAATGAGCCAAGAGAAGTGACGCTAGCTAATGGGCTCACTGCTCCTCTTCATATGCAGGTCCACTACATCTCTTTTTCAGCTCATGCTGATTTCCCTCAGACAAGCAACTTTCGGGATGAGCTTCGACCACCCAATATTATTCTTGTACATGGCGAAGCAAATGAAATTTCAAGGCTTAAACAGAAACTTATTGCTCAGTTTGATGGTACAAATACGAAAATTGTGTCTCCCAAGAATTGTCAATCAGTGGAGATGTATTTCACTTGTGAGAAAATGGCCAAGACTATTGGCAGGCTGGCAGAAAAAGTACCAGAAGTTGGAGAGTCTTCTGGTGGCTTACTTGTGAAGAAGGGATTCACATATCAGATTATGGCTCCTGAAGATCTCCGCGTGTTCACACAGTTATCTACAGCTAACATCACTCAGCGCATCGCAGTCCCTTACTCTGGTTCTTTTGAAGTCATTAGGTACAGACTGAAGCAAATATACGAGAGCGTGGAGTCAGCAACAGAAGAATCTGATGCTCCAGCATTGATCGTGCATGAAAGAGTGTCAGTTCGCCTGGATTCAGAAAGTTATGTTACACTGCAGTGGTCATCCGATCCCATCAGTGACATGGTGTCTGATTCTCTGGTGGCTATGATCTTGAACATCGGTCGGGAAGGTCCCAAAGTTGTTCCGGTTGAAGAAGCAGCGAAGACCAAAGAAGAGACAGAAAAGGTTGCTCAAAAGGTGGTGTATGCTCTTATGGTATCACTTTTCGGTGATGTTAAAGTTGCAGAGGATGGGAAATTTGTCATATCTGTAGACGGAAATGTGGCACACTTGGATGGGAGGAGTGGCGATGTTGAATGTGAAAATGCTACACTCAAGGAGCGGATCAAGGAGCGGACCAATCCCACTTTCAGCCTCTTGATAACTTGTTTGACATTTCCCAGCTGAACAAAGTAGCATTATCTGTTTACACTAGAAAATCACTCCCTCCCCAACAACAACAAAAAAAAGACTCGCAAATGCCTTGTACTGCATGCTACTCAAGAGGATTGTTGCTGACCGCCTCTGTAATATCACTTGTAACATTGTAATCCTAACTTGAACCACCTCCATCGTTTTCAGTAAATTTCTACTTATCCATCTGTTTTCTTGTTGTACTCACTCGAATTCCCAATGCTTTGCTGTTCCAAATTCTGTTTTGCTATGTTCATGCAATCTTGTGAAGCAAAGGATCTGCTGCAAGATTTTGTCATTCTACCATCTGTTCACATGCCTTCAGCGTTTTCCTAAACAGTAAGGAGTCGGTCACCTGTCATTTATCCATTATTCAGGCTAAATGGTCAATTAAACAGGATAAACGGCCAATTAGACGGGATACAGTCGATTAAACGGAAATGGCATACCGCTTTGTAGCGTTTACATGGTGTTTAAGTGGGCTAAATGATTGTTTAGGTGAACAATACTGCCCTGCTTCTCTTTTCGTATCCACTCAATTTTGAAGTTTCTGTATTTACTCCCCCATTCTATTATGCATTAGAATATTTATCAATGAAAGGGAATACAAATCATATAACCACAATTCAATCTACACAACTTTGGTATCACACTGTATAATTCAGAAGCACACGAACTTATCAATCAGGCTATGTACTGTGCATTGCTCCTTCCCCATTCCCCTGCAACTGCAAGAACAACAGGAACCGCTTACTCGCCAGCCGATTCTGAATGGAAATTTCAGATGCCTGGACGCACGCATCATCAGTCATCAGAGAGGTCATGAGGGACGGGCACAGGGGAGGCAAGCCAGCGCCTTGGAAACGAAGCTGCTCTTGCTCTTGTCCTTCCCCGACGACGACGGCTTCACCGTGGGGATGTGGGAGCCGTCCTCGCCGCGCTTCTTGCATTTTTCGCACTCGTCGCGGAAGGCCTTGAAGGCGTCGACGCAGTACCTGGCCGCCTCCGCCTCCGCCACCGTCATCCCCTCCACGAGCTTGTGCGGGTACGAGTCCTTGGTGTGGTCGCCGTTGAGCACCGCGGCGAGCTGCACCAGCTCCTCCTGGAACTCCGACAGCGGGGCGTGCTCCGCCGCCGCCGTCCGCCGCAGCTTCACTGGCTCAGGTAGGGTGACTGCATGCATGCACGCACATCATCAGTGTCAGTCAATCAGTCATGCATGTCACTACACACTAGCTATTGATGGAGTACGTACGTGGGCAGTCGGTGCGCGGCGTGTCGCGCGTGAGGACGCAGTCGAAGGTGCCGGCCCAGGCGTCGCGCTTGGTGAGGAAGCTCCTGAGGTTGAAGAGCTTCTTGACGGTGGCCGGGATGGAGGAGTGCTCGAACTCCGACGTCGTGTATGGCGCCGACGGCCTATGCAGCACCGTCCCGGGCTCGATCCAGGGCGACACCAGGAGCGCCGGGACGCGGACGCAGAGGCGGTCGAAGCCGAAGAAGAAGGGCGCGGCGCTGACGATGCCGTCGGGGCTGGGCACGACCCCGGCGCCGGCTGGCGTGGGCACGTGGTCGTAGAACCTGCCGTGCTCGTCGTAGGTGACGACGAGGAGCGTCTCCTCCCACTGCGGCCCCGACCGCACCGCCTCGTACACCTCCTTGACGAACCGCTGTCCCTCGGCGACGTCGTGGGACGGGTGGTCGTCGTTCCCCTGGAGGATCTCGAGTTCGAAGTAGCGCTGCTCCACGACGACGTAGCTGGGCAGCTTCCCCTCCCGGCAGTGGCGCCGGAAGTCGATGTCGAACTCGTGGAAACTGCCGGCGTACTTGAGCTGCCGGTGGCTGCGGTAGAAGAGCGTCGACGGCGGGTACTGGTAGTAGATGCCGAAGGAGAACCCCTCGTCGTGGAGCGCGTCGAAGATGGTCCGCTGCGGGAGCCCCGCCACCAGCGCCTTGGTGTCGTTGCTGACGAGCCCGTGGGAGGTGGCGGAGTGCACGAACAGCCGGTTGGGCTGCGTCGACGCCGGGTTCGACGCGAACCACCTGTCGCAGACGGCGAACTCCCGCACCAGCTCGCGGTACACGGGCACGGTGTCCGGGCGGAACCCGCTCATGACGGTGCCGGACATGCCGGGTTTCTCCTTCTCGGCCTGCTGCGCGAAGCCGGACATGGGCGGGACGGCCACGCCCGGCGGGGTGATGGGCGTTGTGGTGGCGTCGACGAAGGGTGTCCCGTACACCTGCTAGTAGATGGCCTGCATGGAGTGGCCCGGGTCTGGGTCCACGTACTCGGCGCCGTCGCTGAAGCGGACGGCGCGGGAGGTCGGGTCGGACGCGTCCACGTGGTTGGTCTCGATGCCCGTGACGCCGTCGATGTCCGGGTTCAGCGACTTCATCCACCCCAGCATGTGGTCGAAGGAGCGGTTCTCCTGCACCAGCACCACCACCGTCTTGATCTTATTGTTACTACTGTTCCCGGCCGCCGCCGGTGCCGGTGCCGCCGCCATTGTTGCTCGCTTCTCTACAACACAAGTGCTTGCTTGATTGGTTTCTTCCTTCTCGGTGGATGGATGCGGATATAGATCAGTGGACAATGCACAATATATGTGCTAGCTAGCAGGAGTTAGTCCAACGTGCAAGGAAAAAACTGAAGACGAGAGAAGGAAGGTCGTTGTTGACGTAGCATTACACATGAGCCAGAAGAAGAAGAGGAAGAGGAAGACAAGCATGATGGCACCCAGCTCGGACGCTTGTCTGCCAAGCATCTTATCTTCAGAGTTTCAGACACACACACACGCATGGTTTCGTATTCTGACATGACAACAACAAAGAGAGCAACTGAGGAAGCTAGAACAATGTAGTGCATGCATGGACGTACACGCATCGGAGAAGACGGACGCCGGAAGGCGCGAGCGACAGAGAAGCGTCCTTGTCGTCCGTCGCCATTCCTCTGACAGGCGAGAAGACAGAGAGAGATTTCTTTGGCTTGTGGAACTACGCGGAGGCCGCCGCCGACCGGGTGGCGGATGCAGAACAGCCACTGTCCTTTTCAGCTCCGTGCAGCAGAGAAACCACCGGATCCAACCACCACCACTTGCTTAGGCGTCCGGCAAAAGGGTGGTTTCAGTTTCAGGCATATACTTTCATATCATCGTTTTGCAATCTGCGTACCATCATTTTTCTTCTAACACATTGCCGACGTGTCAACCCAGAGTGTCGTTATCAGCTGATTAATTTGTTCATAAACCATAAGCATCCATTCCTGTTGGTGCAAGCATATTCTCTGTTAGCGTAGCAGTGCGAACAATCAGAATGCTGATCTGTTTAGTTTTAGGTTTTAGCTTCTTATACACACAACTTGCAATAGCTCATCAGTCAGTGAAAAATTCATCAGCCATGCCTTTTTCTTTTTAAAAAAAAATCAAAGTGGTAGAGAACTGAAAACTCCGCCTATGTTGTCTCAACATAGCAGGTCCCAAGCCGGAGGAGAGTTGTGATAGGCGTGGCGAGCCAACGTTAAATCTAGCCATTTTAATGGAGATGAAACCCGAAAGAATTTCCGTTGGGGCGTAACCCTCTTAGCGACGCGCCATATCGGAACCCGGGTATGGTGTTAAATGAGCAAGGGCCGGGTCGTCACCCCCGTGACGTGCCGTGTCGTCATCTGGGCACGGTGTCAAGTGAGCCAGGATCGGGTTGTCGCATCCTTAGTAGCGTGTTACAACAGCGCCCGGGTGTAGTGAAAAATGAGCAAGGATCTTCATATTTGAGTCGACGGGTGCGAAGGGTAAGGAAGCTAATCGAACCAACTAGGATCCGTTTAGATAGTTGGAATGTAGGATCACTTACAGGTAAGTTAAGAGAATTAGTTGATACCGCGACTAGGAGGCGTGTAAATATATTATGCGTTCAAGAGACTAAATGGAAGGGTCAGAAGACGAAGGAGGTGGACAATACAGGTTTCAAGCTTTGGTACACAGGGACAGTCGCGAATAGAAATGGAGTAGGAGTTTTGATTGATAAGAGCCTCAAGAATAGTGTGGTGGGAGTGAGAAGGCAAGGAGATAGGATTATCTTAGTCAAGCTTGTCATTGGTGATATGGTCTTGAACGTAATTAGTGCGTATGCCCCCCAAGTAGGCCTCGACGAGAGTGCTAAAAGATAGTTCTGGGAAGACTTAGATGGCCTGATTAGAGCTGTACCTAGTAGTGAGAAGCTTTTTATAAGAGGAGATCTTAATGGGTACGTAGGTACTACAAGCGCAGGTTTCGAGGCAGTTCATGGAGGTTTTGGGTATGGTAGTAGGAATCAGGAGGGGGAGGAAGTTCTTGACTTCGCGGTAGCTTTTGACCTGATGATAGCCAACACTTTCTTTAGAAAGAGAGAATGTAATCTAGTGACCTTCAGTAGCGGACAACACTCTAGCCAGATTGACTTTGTTCTCGCAAGAAGAAAGGACAAACGAGCATGCTTGGGTTGCAAGGTGATACCAGGGGAGTGTGTTGTTTCTCAACATAAGCTTTTGGTGGCAGACTTTCGTTTTCAGGTGCGCGCCCGTAGGGATAAACAAGCTAAGATTGAAAGAACAAAGTTGTGGAAACTGAAAGGGGAGACGTCAGAGGTATTCAGGGAAAGGGTTATCAAAGAGGGCTCTTGGATTGAAGAAGAGGACATAAATAACATGTGGGAGAAGATGACAACCAACATTCGGAAGGTGACCTCAGAGGTGTGTGGAGTAACCAAAGGAAGTGGAGGCGAGGCTAAAGATACTTGGTAGTGAAACGAGAAAGTCCAAATGGCTATTAAGGAGAAGAAAGAATGCTATAGACGCTTGTACCATGACAGGAGTGTGGACAACATAGAGAAGTACAAGGTGGCAAAGAAGACTGCAAAGCAAGCTGTAAGTGTGGCAAATGGTAGAGCGTACGAGGATCTTTACCAACATTTGGGTACGAAGGAATGAGAGAATGACATTTATAGGATGGCTAGGGTTCGTG